GTGCATTTTTCTTTTTTGTAAAAGTATGGGCTAATGATGCTAGCAGCTCAAAAACTCCACCAAAATCTTAGAGGTTTGATAATAATTGATTGTTTATTTTTGAGTTTCCCTCAGACCAAATAAGTGACACCCTTCCTTATATATAACTGCAATTCAATATTTCTAAAAATAAATTTCGATGACTAAGATAAAGCTGTATAGAAGTTATTAAGGATAATAGCAGATTCTAATCGAGATGAATTTTAATCCATTTGCACCTATTCCATATTCATCATATTCAATGAACAAATTGAAAGTTGTGTGTGACATCATAAATATGGCATAAATACAATGCAGTATATGTAACTTAACGGACTGGACATATGGAGGGAAGAAATAAGAATGAGCTATAAAAATAATTTGATAAACCAGAAGATAAGCGATCTATTGGAAGACCAAAAATGTGGTAAATTAATAATGTTAAAGCTGCTGATATGACTGATAAATTGTCAATTATTGTGAGGAATGGAAAAGAATTGCTAAAAAGTCCAAGATATTTAAAATCTGTAGCAATACAACTATATAGTATCATGTGAGAAACACTATATACATGTAGTCTATCTACTACCATTTGCCTTACGTCCAAATGACTCCATATTTAAAAAACTAACTACTCGAGTGATTAGATTTTACATAATCTTTTATATACCTCATTTTAAATTTTATAACTTTATTATTATAATTATAATTTAATTTAACAACACTTGAATTACGGCCGAAATACATTTTTTATTATCTTTATTGTCACTATTTCAGTTGTTTTTATGTTGTTGTACGTATCTGCCAGCGATTATCCATATCCGTTTGTATCTGTACGCGCCATAGCCCAATGCGAATAGCATTGGAGAATAGGTAATTTGCATTCAAGAAAATGAATTTTCTGCATGTTTTATGCTAATTTTTTTGAAATTTTTTTTTTCTTTACTTGTCCAAAATCATGCCATGTTGAGTGTTTGAAATACAAAACATTAAACTATTGCATAATTGCCTCTACAAAATTATATTGGTCAATTAACTAGTAACATTGCTGCCAAATAATTAGTTTTTATGTAGTATGACTGAATTTTTGTTGTAGGATATAATTTCAAAGTATTCAAGAAATAGTGAATGTTCAGTTAATACAGATATTATTGAAAAATTTGGTATTACATAAATTACATACATTTTTATTTTGTTTTTGTTTGAAAAAATGTCTATATAAAAAGTCTGACTTGTCTTTGTCTTGTTTTAAATTCGTAATAAACTTCTTTTATATCCTTTTCTTTATTTATTTTTTTTTTTTGTTATTTTAAGACAATTTATTTATAGTTCAACAGTTAACATATCATATTTGACCTATAATCCGTATCACGCGACGTATAATCCGTATCGACAAGTCAAACTACATATATTTCAATATCAAGTACCAAATGTCGATAGACATTTATCGACTACAAAAAACGAAAGCCTATATGTGTCGTATTATTATAAATAACTTTTTCAATTTTCTTAACAAATTATTATTATTATTATGTTACATTATTGTGTTACTATTCGATTACATGCATATTATATTTATTACATGTCTAACATCTTACAAGTATCTATCTTTCTATCTATCTATCTATCAATCTATCCATTTATTCATTTCGTTAATGTGTGCGATACACCGTAAATTGCATTTTTGCTCAGTAACATTTTAAGTTTTTGAAACAACTTCGTAATATATACAATTTATGCATAAATCTTTAAACTGCTGATTACATTAAATGATACACCAAGTTACGTACTCAACATTTGTAAACATAAACTTAGATGAGATGAATGTACAGTGTTTCACATAATAGCAGCGAGTGAACGCAGTGCTTGCTGCTGTTAGTAACTCTGATAACTGCTGCTCACTTGAGTTGAATAGTAAAATTTTTGCTCCATTTGGTGGCAGTTGTTAGTAATTTAACCGTATTGTTATTGCTGTCAAACAATAATAGTAATTTTAATGTATCTTTTCCAACAGATATTGCATAATCGTTTCAAACATTTCGTTTTGTTAGACGTTTCGCATTCGCATTCACATTATTTTCACTATAATTATTAATTTTGCGAAATGGACAAAAGTCGAAGGTGTTGATTTTTAATGCATTTTTTACAGTTTTTTCGAAGTGTTAAAAATTATAACAGCGCTTTTTCAAAACGTATCTATACACAGCGTACACTGTACTTATCTTAATTTGTCAACGTTGCGTATACGTGCCATAATTATTTTGCAGATTTCTTCAAAGCGATAAAGTTAAACAACTAATCATTATTAAGTATAAAAATGTTTACTTAAATTTTGGCACATATTGAAAACGCTAATATAAACAATTATTGTTTTGTTAATTTTTGTATACTTTAAAATAATTAATCATTTTTTATATCACTAAAATTGTCACCATGTTAAAGAATTTTAAATAGGAAATTAACAAAATATATTTGCATATATATAAATTAATGAAAAGAGTAAACTTACTTTAAAAAAAAATGATTATTCACACGTTTCGTATGAATCACAGAAGTAAGCCACACTCATTTACGCAAAAAAGAAATAAATCTTCCGGTTTCGTATACTAGGAAGAGAGTGTCGGAAATGTGAAAAATTTTCAAAATACAAAAACTTTATTTATATCTCTGACTTTGACAAAAAAAAATAGTTAAAAGATACAAAAATCAGAAAATTTGAAACAAATAAAAACTTTATCTAATCGTTTAGATAGAGTTATTCGGAATTTACTAACAATTTTATTTAGATTAAAATCGTTTATATACTTGAATTGAAACAAATTTATTTGGTAAAATATTTACCAATCAAGTTTTATCAGTTTAAGTTTAAACTTATAATGCGTTTTTTGGTGATTTCTCTACTCTTTTAAAAAATGTGGTAATTTCCTTCTTTATATTTCACCGATCATTTCCTAATCTGTTCAATAATTGCTACGCTAAGAGATCTCAAAATCATATTATCCAGGAGAATTATCGATGCAGAAGGTTGAAGTTTAGGTATTAGTTGTAATTATGTTGCATATGTGGTACTTTCTTAAAAAGTCCACACAAATCTAATTTACAAATATCGTATTTGTTTTCTGAAAACTATCTTTGTCATCGCTTCTTATTTGACAGGCACGACTTGTAAGCATGGCACTTACAGTCTTAATAAATTATATACGGACTATAAACTAATTAATAAATTCGAATATTTCCTAAGACCACTAATGATGAGTACTTTGCAAAACTTGAACATCGTTGTATGGTTAGACAAATTTCAATAAATTAAATAAATTTTTGTTGTTGTATTTTCTTTAATATTCGAATCTGTCTAACTTTTAAAAGGATTCTTTTTTTTATTTCATTTTCTTCATTGTAATTGTTTTTTCAGTTTCTAACTTTTCTCTGATGATAAGATCTCTACTTGGGCGTCGCTTGTAATAATACTTTTAAATTATCTGGGAACCATATTTTCTTAAAGTAATATTAAAAGCTAAAAAATTATTTTAATAATAAATTGAGCTCCTAGATTATATAGCAGACAAGCTCAATTGATCAACTTCGGTTTTGCTACTAACAATTGTTATGTTTTGTTTGTAAAGTGATTAAATACATAAATTTAATTAATTAGAATATATATACATATTATTCAAAATATTTTATTTTAAAATGCATTAATTTTGAAAGATAATTCTTTGATTAAATAAATGAAAGGATGCCCTCCTGCCATATCATTTTATTTATCGAAATACATATTATAAAACAACAGAACGGAAGTCTACCAAAAAACCATTCCGTCAAAAACTCTGAATATGTTTATAAATGATTTATTTGAATAGTATAATTGATAAATCAGCTTTAAGTTTCTTAAATAACTTTTGATGTCTTAAATATCTTGATGCCTATTGTTGTATATTTTTGTACTTCGGAGATGATTGTATTTATCTACTACACCAAAGCAATTCCTGCAGGAATGATAGATAGCAATTGCGAACGTATTTACAAAAACGTGGCAAATACTAGAATTTATTCATCTTCTATTACAAATTGTGTTGGAGATAAAAGATAGATAAAAAGAATTGTTTTATTTTTGATATCACAATAAATTGTCTAACCTCTAACATGAAATTGGGCACATGTGCTCATACTGTACTATTTGAAGAGTGCAACACCACACGGAATTTTAATACGTGCCACTTGTGGCATCCGTGTCATTAGGTCGCCACCGCTCTATACCAGTATGACTTAAAACTATTTAAAAAAATTTTTTTGGTACCATATACCTATATTGTTAAAACAAAATCAATTTAGTCTTGATCAAGAATATATAGTTTTCATTGTTTCCGATGTCTTTGCTATTACAAATATTATCACAAGCTTAGTTAACTTTTTATATTAATAGTTTGAAAAGCTTAAATTAAATTAATAAAATAATTAATAATTTAACTTTTAAAAAGTGACAATTTTTTCTTAAGAACTAAATTTTCTGTGTCTGTATCAACTGCTTTTATTTAATTAACTTCTTTGAAAATCATTAGCAAAGCCAAGACCGAATTTAGTATAGTTTCGAGATAAAAATTGATATCTTACTTAAAAATCTTGAAAAAATATTTATACAAGACGTACATAATTCTTTTGTACTCAAACAGAAGTCTTTGAATTTCACCGTCTTTGCCAACGCATTTAGCGTTCATATAATATAAATATATTTCTAGGGATTTTTTTATTATATTTATATATGATTAAATTTAGGAAAGTACAGGCGTTATTTTATTTTACCCACTAAATATTTACTTAATATAAAAAGTTTTAGTTCACTTATTTATATAAGGAATTTTTACTAATTTTAAAATTTTATAAAACCGTTTATATGTATATGGATTTTAATACCATATATGTATATATTATTTTATATATACATTAAAATATCTAAACGTATTTTGTTTTTTTTTTATTTTCAGACGCTAATCAATTCTACTTATTAAAGGTAATTACTTATAATTGCACTACTATTATTATATATATGAAATTAAAAAATTACGTACCCAAGTAAGTCAAAACAAATAATATATTTATTTAAAATGTATCAATTAAAATAAATATGTAAACCTCTCTAAATTTGAAATCGGAATGTAAAAGTAGTTTTGTTAAACTTTTGTTTTTTAAATTCATCTCCATGTTTTCGTAATATTAATATAATTATATTTTATATTTAATTAAAAAATTACTCATATTATTCAATATTTAATACAATAATAAATGATCTCAGTGAGTTACTCATCTAATTAAAAAAAATATATATGCAATTTAATAATGGTTTATTAAAAAAGTTTTAAAACATGCAATCGATGCTGTCATGATTACAAATAAGATTAGTTTTAAGTTTGTAAAATAAAAAAAAAATCAATATATCAGATTATATATCTATTCGTTGTAGAATACTCAACTCTGTTTTTTTTTTATATTTTAATTTTTGTATGCTATTAAAAATCTAAGGATTGTAAGAATGGTTGTAAGACGTTATAATTTAATAACGTTTTTCTTTTAATGTATCTTAACTGTAAAAAATATAATAGTTTAATATTTCTGCGTAAAAAACACCTACGCACTCAATCTAGTAACTTACAATTTTTATATTGAATAGACAAATGACGGTTAACAATAAGGTTTGCAAATTTAAAGATCGATCTTTGAAAAACTAAGCTATGTACCATATAACGTAGTGAAGACCTCTTTGCTTTACTCAGCCCAATAAATTGAAATCATGCTCGTCTTTAGAAGGGTTTCTGTAGTATTATCATATCTTCTTGATTCTTGATTCTTCTTCTTGAGTTAGTGCTATTACGCACTTTTACTCTATAATGGCTGGGGGGGCTTATCTCTACCCCACACTAGGCTTAAACTAGGCTAAGAAATCATACCATTTATTTGTCGTTTAGTTGATGACGGACCTTAAATCAGCATATCTTCCTGAGAGTCCAGAAGTGGACTTGAGGATTGTTAGGGCGGGGTTAAGTAGCGTATCAACTAGTATTATTATATATAATACTATATAATTCACCCATTCACTTTATGTCAAAAGGTAAAAGTGAGATTTATATAAGCAAATTAAAACTTGAAATAAAATGTTTTAATTAATTCAGAACTTTATTTTAATTTTGTTTATTATAGTTAATGGAGTAAGAACTTAATGGAGTGAACTCTTAAACAATATTTTCTTCTTCTGCTTTTATATCATGAGACTCCTAAGTGGACTAGTGCTTTCACAACCACTTTTCTTCATAGGCCTTAACTCCATTGCTTCACTCCATTCTTGTATTTTTACTGTTTTTTCATTAATAAAAATTCAATTTGTTGACGAAATATATAAATTTCATATGTATTTTATATAAATTTTATATATCTGACAAAATATATAAATTTCATATGTATTTTATATAAATTTTAGATATATTTTGTATTTATTTCGTCTAAAAAAATTTATGAGAAGCTGTGTGAAGTATATATGAAATACTTCAGTGTCCAGGTGTCATATTTATTGATAACAACATGTATTTTCTCTTTTTTTTTGATTCCATGATATTCAACTTTAAATATTTTAAAAGCGAATAGTGGAAGTTTGATCGATTCTATGTTATCATTTTTATTTAATTTAAATTTGATATGTATTCTGTCATATAATGTTGACATTTTACAATTCGTTGATATATAAGATTTAAGACCTGATAATTTACAATTTACTCTTTTTTTTTTTTTAAATTAAGATTTTATTCTTAATTCTTATTCTTATCGTATTTTATACAAAAGTGTGCTAAAACTAGTATGGGACCTATAGCATTGAACTATGGGAACAGCGACAACATCCAACATCAACATTTTTTAGAAATTTTAGTCTGTACGAGAAATGGTGAACGCTCCATGGTATGTAACTAACATCCAAATCCAACGGGACCTTAGGTTGATTTCTGTAAAAAATAATGTAAAAAAGATAGCTAGAAAATATCATACAAATTCGTCCCAACTCTCTCGCTTCGAGTTTGTTGTCCCTCTCAAAAATTTTTACGAGGCTGAAAAGGAAAACAGCGCTTCAGATGTTAGAATAAAATCGAAAAATATGGAGTGAATGCTTTTTTCTTAGTCCAAAGAGTGTTTTAATAAATGTACATTTCACATTTTTGTTTAATATTTCGAGACGAAAAGTAATTAAGTTGCTAAATTTTGCTCGAGGCTTCTTTAATGAAACTAGTTCATTTGCATTTAAGCTTTATGAATTTTTATATGAATTATTTATACATAAGGTTTTTTCTAAATACATGACTAATTATTATCAGTCTTAAGAGTTTTCTTTTCTTAAAACAAATTTTAGTGATCTTAGAAAATGTCTATCGTTTATAAACTTTTGTTTGCTGTTTTTTACTATATTTATATGGCTTGAGCTGAGCACGTTTTTCAAATGAAACTATGAACAACCCATTTATATACATTTTTTTATTGTTAATAGTTTATCAACGACTTAATCTAAAAAGGTTATAATTATGTTATCAAAAGAATGAAAAAAAGATTGAAGTGTCTAACAACAATGGAATCCATAAATGTCTCAAACCAAATCAAGCTCAGCTATGTTTATAACTGTGATGTATATAAACTGATCAGTATCAAGCTGTGTTTTAGCCCAAACAAGGAGTCCGGTGCCTTTTGAAAGATATTTGTTAATGCAAATTTGTATCCATACTGCTGCCGTTGCTATTGTTAAGCAGTCAAATAATCATCATTGTCAAAACTGTTTAGCAAAATGACAAACAGCAGCAGTGGTAAGAGTAAAAAACTTGAAAAAGTGACAAAAAAAGAAGCATAAAACTGTCATTTGAACTGAAAGTGACATAAAAAATAGAAATTAAGCGCAAAATATATGACAACAATTTGACGTGACTTCAAATTAAAATTATATTAGGTTTGAGTTTAAGTTTGAGTTTGTTTCATAGGTTGGAATGGTCGTAAGCATAAAAAGTTCATAAAGTGTGAAACAAAAAGGCATTAAAGTTATACTGTATCTAAAGAAAAAGAAAAAATAAAATAAAATTTAACTTAGTCTATTATTATGTTGAGGTGTCACGCTGCTAATGACATTCAAATTGCCACAGAAAACTTACCAAGAAACCATAGAAAAATTAAAAGTAAAATTTAAGCAAAAGTGAAGGAAAAATATAAATACAAAAAGCTGAAAATTTTATGTAAACAAAGAAAGTTAAACGATTGTAGATACAATGGCTTGGAAAATATAAATTATTACAGCAATAGTGACTGCTCTAACGTGCTATGTGCTTGCACAATATGCATTGGAATATTTAGTAGTTAACCCAAACTACAGTTAGCATTATCAATGTTTCCGCTTTAAGCCTGCTACTAACTAAGCCATTAAAGTAACTGTGTAGAGAAAAAATTTTAAATAAGAAATTTAAATAATTTTGCTAAAATGCATAAAAGGAAAAATTAATAAATTTAATTCATGTTGAACTGCTAATTGTACAAGTAATAGACTAGTAAGAACTAAAATGATATTGCTGAGAGAATAACGTATAAACGTTCATCAACTAGATGGATATGTATCAGGTGGTAGAATATTTTCTGTTGCTAGAGAAAGATAAGTTTTATAGTAACATTCTTTATCAGGCTCTAATCTGGGTCAGGAGTTGAAAACTCCTTAACGAAAAATATTCTGTCGTTGATTCATAGGATCACTTAAAGGCATCATAGTAGATTGTTTTTGTAAAGAATTCTTTTTCATGAAAAAGTTTTTCAGTTGGTAAAGAATCGCAACTGAACAGTAGATATTCAGCCTTTCAAATTAGTGACTTCCGTAAGGATGCATTGCAAGCCCAGACCACTGTAATCTTTTACTTCTAATTTTAAATACTAAGGTTTTGGCATGATCTGAATCCTATATTGGATTTGTTTTAAGAATGCGATGTTTAAATTCTTATATTCAATATTTCAGGTAGAAGTTATTTTGAGTTGTAAGTGTTTTTAAATTTAAACAATTATTAGTGAAAATAAAGTCATTATAAGTAATTCTATAAGTAATTCTATTCATGGGCACCCACTATAAATAATGATATTGAAACTACTTATTTAATTTTTTTCAAAGACAACTCTTTTGTTTATGATTGCATATAGTTCACTAATCTATTAAATTATAATATAAGTGATTTTTCGGTAAAAAATGCATGCTTCGGTAAAAATTATCGCAAGTTTAAGTTAAAAAAAGAAACAACAAATTTCTTTATGCAAATAAAGGCTCTGCGTTTTATTCCGAAGTTATTAGTTCATAAACAATAATAAAAGAATAGCTGTTTAACAAATAAAAACTTTTCGAAATTGCTAGAAATGATATGCGAAGTCAATATTGATTCTATTAATAGATCTGTGGATCGTCTTTTTTTTAAACCCGCCTTAAATTTATCTATATAACGTTGGTTTATCTTACATTGTTTTTTTTTTTTTTTTTGATTCATCTTCCTACCGATAAAGTCAACGTTAAACTTTTTAAGTTACAAAAAATTGCGCTAACACTTTATGACTTAGAGTTCATCTGTTATGCCAAAGTTAAATCCTTATCTAAAGAATAACTAATCTACTTGCTATATAGACTATACATATTTCGTGTCTATATGTCAGAGTGTATTATATTTAATATGTGTATGACACTAAAGACGAAGATTTTTGAGACCTTTTGACTGAAAGTCTTTTTCGGATATTCGCTATTTTAATGCCCACCATCTTGATAGATTTTGAAGTACATACCCCTTCCAATATAAAATGTTTTATTTTCTTCGTGACCACTTAAAATTGAAACATCCTTAACGTTAGATGGTGCTGCTCTATGGTTGTGCCTCAGCATATTTGCTTAATTTTTTTTCTTATATTGATTCAAGTTTCCTTATATATTTTCCATTTATACTTTTTCTCTTTAATTAAATAAAAATATAT